TACCACCAGGGTTCTTGGCTCCAACAATCGATCCAGATCCCAAAACTCTGTGGGGCTGAAACCACCAGGTGCTTCTCCGAAGCCGGTCCTGGGATGTGCTTGGTCCTGTGACTTACTTCATCCCCTGCTGGAAGACGGAATTCCTCCTGGTCTTGCAGATGACCAGGTCAGCCCACTGTACCACCACGATGCTGACGAAGAAGGCGGTGTGGCAGGTGAACTCCACGATCTTCCTCTGCTCATAGGTCTGAAACGTGGGAGGCACACACATGAGCCTGGCTTCTGCCCGTGTGGCTGCAGGGGGCACAGCCACCGTCCTCTGGTACTGGGCAGGAGGGCCCTCCCTCACTCACCCACTGCTGCCCGTAGCTGTCCTCCACATCATTGACCCAGCGGTCATCCCAGTCCACTCGGATGCCCAGCAGGTGAAAGGGCAGGAAGCCGTTCTCAGCCAGGATCACAAAGTAGGTGAAGAAGCCGCCCAGGGCCTGGATCATACCTACGGAGTTGAGAGATGACTGGACCTCGCCTCTGCTGCAGGCCTGTGGGCAGGCAAGGGTGGCCTCTCTGGTGGCACAGGGGAGGGCCCAGTCACTCAACTAGCCCTTAGGGACAACTCTCAGGTCAGGCGCCACCCCCTCTATGTTTTGGGTCACATCTTAGGGCTGGAAGGAGAACGCAGCTGTCTTGCCCTTCAAAACCCACCTCTACACCTTCACCACCTGCTCCTGCTACTCCTTGGGGGAGGGAGTGAGGAGCAGCATTACTTTTCCCCTCTTTCAGTCTCTGGGAAACTCTAAAAAATGTTTCAGACTGTTTATACCTTGTCAATTGGCCAGCCTTTCTGGGCATTTTGACTCCTTGGGGGATGCCATCAGTGGAAGGGATCACAGGACCCTGCTGTGTCCCCTACCACAGTGACTGATGCAATCACACTGTGCTATCCTTTGCTCTGGACCAGTCTCCATCTCAGAATGAGCTTTTGTGGGGGGTGGGGGCTGGCGAGGTGCTCCACAATTCCCTAGCTGGCCGCAGAGGTTAGACCACTCCTGAGTCTAACTTCCATGTGGCTTAACATCCCTCCTGTACTCCCGGGCACCGTCAGTCCACAAGAACAAGTTCCCTGGCTCTCCATGGGAGACTAGCAGTGCTCTTAGAGCAAGCTGCTTTGTGGGACTCCCTGCCCAGTGAGTGGCTATGCTCCACGGTGCAGCAGAAACCCTGCACTGCGGGGAAGTGGGCTGCACCGTCACCATCTGTCGGTGTGACCTGCTGGCCGGACCTTCAAACCCTGGCGTCTCCAATGCCCCCTTCTCTAGCCCAATTGGTGAGCTGCGGTGCATCCCCAGGGAGCACGGATGCCAGCCGCCTCCCCTCTCCCAGGAATGGCAGGCTAGAGGCCCAGCTCAGAGCCGCCCTTGGATGGGCCCAGGCGGCTAGTGTGCAATCTTCAGGAGGAAGGGCATCTTCCGTCTCCGAGAAACCGAGCCCAGTCTCCCGGTGCGAGTCTAAACAGCGAGTCTCCACAGACAGCATTAACTGGATGGTAAAGCACTCCTCCCCATGTGGAAGAGGAGCCACAGAAGGCCCTGCACACGATTGCCCACACGACGACTCAAATGCCCCGGACGGCACCACGGCCCGTGGCTTACCAATCTGCCCGTAGGCCATGCTGATGAGCCGCTCGTTCACCAGCTTGTCCGTTTTGGGGTTTCTGGGCTGCCTCTTCATGATGTCACTCTCGGCCTGCTCGTACGCCAGAGAGATGGCAGGGACCTGCGGGCGGGGAGGGAGATGGGACGGAATCGGCGCCAGGAACGGGCGCGGATGCTTTGAGACCTCCGTGAGAAGACTCCTTCTGTTCGCCATTCCTGGACGTGGTGCTTACAAACCCCAAGCCACACCCACTGTTACCGAATCACCACGGTAGGTTCTTAGAAAGAGAAAATCCCAACGCTACAAAAGGGAAAGTTTCCCAGCTGACGAAACACAGTTTGACGGAGGAAGCCTGCACGAACGACGGCGTCTGACCCTTTGACGCTGGAGAGCGGGGATGGGGAACGTCAGGCCCGCGAAATCACCGAGACCAGGTCACGGCGCAGACCGCGGCCACCCCATCGGGAGCGGGGTAGCTCAGTCAGTGTCCGACCGAACAGAGCAGGCCGATTTTCAAGCTGATGATTTCCTATAGCCCGAGAATGATGTATGAATATTCAGAACGGCCCTCAACAGAAAACAAGGTTCCCCTTCCCAGCAGTAGAGTTAGGGACAGACTGGATGTTGTTACCACCGGGACCGTCTTGTCCTACGTGTGCATTGACGCAGCAGTGTCCTGCCCGATGCCAGCTGACGCGGTCTTGTCCCACATCTTCCCATTACCTGCCGTGGGGGGGTGGGGACGTCCACTCACCATGTCAGTGCCCAGGTCAATGCAGAGGATGGTGACGGTCCCCAGCGGTAGTGGAATGTTTGCAATAATAAATATCAGGAAGGGGGTGATCTCTGGAATGTTACTGGTCAGGGTGTAAGCAATGGATTTCTTCAAGTTATCAAAGATCAGACGACCTAGGAGAGGAAGATGTTCCGTCTACTTGCACGGCAGGAGAGACAGCTCTTCCCATACCCAGGAAGTAAACCCAACCGGGTCCCGGAGAGCAAGAAACACACCCCTTTCTCACCTTCCTCTACTCCAGTCACGATGGAGGCGAAGTTGTCGTCCAGAAGAATCATGTCAGCAGCCTGCTTAGACACGTCAGAGCCAGCGATGCCCATAGCAACCCCGATGTCTGCTTTCTTCAGGGCCGGAGAGTCGTTGACACCGTCACCGGTGACAGCCACGATAGCACCCTGCCCGGGGAAAGGAGAAGGGTTAGGAAG